AGGTTAGCCAAAAAGATGAACTACATTACAGCAAACATTGAATTTTGCACACAATTTCTAAAGCACTTTAGCATCCTTTACACTACAAGACAGGCATCATCAGTCACATCTTTAATACCCTTACCTGGATTGTCATCTCAAAAGGAGTCCAATCATCATCATCCTCACCTTCTTCATAGGACTGAAACATGGCTTTGGAGGCATCAACTAAGAAAATCAGACTGTCCCGACCTGAGTACTGATAATCTCCTTTGAAAAGGAGGGGAAAAATCCATACAGTCATAAAAATCAGGCTGTCCTTTTCTTTCTAGGCAAAGCACCCAATACTGGTTGTATTTTGTAACAATAGGAAATATAAAGAGGACCATGTGTTAACATAGGCCAAGTGCAGACCTTCATTTCAGCTGGTAAGAGTTTATCTAACATTCTTACCAGTAGAAAAAACACTGCAGGGAAGTGGGGGGAGAAGGGCCAGACCATCCATGCATTTCAACCTCCAGGCTGGAGAGCACTACTGGCACACTCTCCTGCCAAGGGGCAGTAGTGGGCTGCTCCCTGGGCCACCACTGCCCTTAGGGAAGCCTATTCATTGACAACCTACCTTCTCCCCTACCTGGGAAAGAGAGATAGCCCAGGGAGGGCTCCAGGATGCCTGCACCACCAGTTGTCTGTCTCCTTTCCTGCCAATCTCTCATCATGGGTACCCTCCCAGCTCCTCCCACAAGGCCCCACAGCGATGGATGCCCCAGGCCAAGCCACAGCAGCGTAGGGGTGAGGTGGGTAGAGCAGTGCCGTGTGTACAGCGCAGCAGGGACAGCAGCAAGGGGCCCAGAAGCTTTTCTCCCAGCAGAGACGCAAGGCATGTGCCTGGGCTAGGGCTGCCAACCCTCTGGGATTGCCCTGGAGTCTCCAGGAGTTAGAGATAAATCTCCAGGAGATTGCGGAGAGTCTCACGGGAGAGAAATGAGAGGGTGTTCATTAAAATAAATATTGAAACGTTGAATCTGATTTATGTAACACTCATGTGCATTTGCTTTCCTGAAGTGAAGTCATTTATGTCATTACATCATGTGAGGAAACCACCCGGAACAGGTTCAAACCGAGCTGGCAACCCTAGTCCGGGCACCATCTGGTCTCCTGGCCGTGGCCGCACCAAGCCCGGCACCTCCTAGCCGGCCTCCTCCTGCCCCGGCCGAGCCGCCATCTCCCAGCCAGCGGGGAGTCTCTGGGCGCGGGGGGGGGGCGGGAAGAGGACCAGGGGCGCGCGCCGAGGCGCGGAAAGAGGACAGAGCCCCCGAGCTACCAGGGGGGACCGGGGCCCGACACTGACCGGCCGGCTCCGCGCCTTCCTCCGGCTCCTCCTCCTCCCGCTCGCTGCGGTAGTAGGACACCCAGTCCGACATAGCGGCGCCGCCGGAAGGACACACAGACGGGGGTATGAGCTGCGCTGCGGCCCAGCACCTGCTGCGGGAGTCCGGCCCCAGCCCCGCACGCTCCGACAGCCAGTTACCTCCGTCCCACCGGAAACCGCTCAATCACCTCCCGCGGAACTGAAAGCCACCCAATCCTACGAGGCGGAAGTAGCGGGAAGCCACCCCCGCGGAGGCGGTGTCGCGTTGCTATGACCACGCCCACCCCTGGCGACCGGGCCTGCAGAACGCACGGCGCATTTCCTGGTTACAGCCTGGTCCGCCAATCGCGGGCGCCGTTCTCCACCCGCGAGGCCCCCTCCTTAAGCGTTACGGCTCCTCCGCCAATCGCGGCTGTTGCTCCTCAGCCCCGCCCAAGAGAGGGCAGTTAACGCCCTCAGCGCGTGGCCGCGCTCCT